CCATCCCATCCCATCCCATCCCATCCCATCCCATCCCATCCCATCCCTATTTAACTTTTCTCATCCCATCCCATCCCACTCCATCCCATTCCTACTTGACCCTTCCCTTCCATATCCATTCCATCCCTATTTGACCCACCCCATATCCATCCCTATTTGCCCTATCCCATCCCATCCTGTCTCTGCTTGTCCCAGCCTGGCCCCCCTCCATGCCATGCCCCCTAACACCATCTCTCCCGCATGGTGCCAGGCGCAGGGCCAGGCCCCTCGCAAGGCCAAGCACGTCCGCATTTCCGTAACGGTAAGCTGCAGCCAATGGCAGCCTGGGCAGAGCTGCTCTCAGCCAATTGGAGGCCAGCCTGAATCCTCTCAACCAATCATGGCCTGGCACGATTCCACTTGGCCAACCACATTTGGTCTCTGTCTGTGTAGACAATCTCAGATGCGTCCCGATTTCTGCTTGGCCAATCAGGGCGCGGGAACTTTCAATCCCAAATCTGCTTGGCCAATCTTAGCATGGATCCTCTCAGCCAATCACAGCAATTGAATTTCCCTCACTTTCCTCCACCAATCACAACCCAGGCTGCATTCTCTCCACCAATCACAACCTGGGCATGCCCAATCACATTCTCCCACATCACTCCATTGTGCACGCCCGGCACGGCGTCACCCCACCTCTCCCACAGGAGGACCTGGACCTGGGGGACAGGATGACGCCGGCAGAGGTGAGCCCAGGCCGCGGGATTGCCTCTGGGGCTGTGCCATGGGGCTGAGTCCCACAGCGTGCTCCCTGTGCCTCAGATCCTGGACTGGGAAGAGCAGCAGCTGGAGCAGAATGTGGACTTCAGCAGCGCCCAGATTGACCCCGCACCCTTCCAGCTGGTGGAGCGCACCTCTCTGCACAAGGTGGGTCCCTGCTGCATCCCCCCACCCCAATTCCCCACTGCGTACCCCACTGAGCCCCCTGTTTTCCTACAGACCCACACCATCTTCTCACTACTGGGCTTGGACCACGCGTACGTCACCAGCATCGGGCGCCTGGTGGGCATGGTGTCCCTCAAGGAGGTGAGGATGGGGGGCAGAGCACAGGGACAGGGATACCCCATTTGCCCACTGATGACACTGGGGTGCCCCACAGCTGCGCAAGGCCATCGAAGGCTCACTGACCGCCAAGGGGGTGAAGGTGTTGCCGCCGCTCGCCAGCTTCCGCCGCAGCAGCACCAGTGCAGGTGAGCTGGACACCACCGACCTGCGCCAGCTCTGGGACCGTCACCAGCACCACCCCATGCCCCGTGAGGCCGGCCCTGATGATGGGGACACCAGCAAGTGACGGTGACACCAAACCCCTACCCTGTCTCGGGGGTGCTGCGGGGGCTCCCTATGGGGGACATGGGCATCCTCCTTTCAGTGCCATGGGGTGGCCAGGTGCCCCCCCAACCTGCCCATGCCCCAAGGCTTCCCCTGTTGCTACCTCTGCCCCCTCCCAGCCCCGTCGCCTCCCAGCACGGCCACAGCCCCCATGGGCACTCTAAGCATTTGGTCGAGGGACATGGGGACAAGAGAAGTCGTCGCCGCCTTCCCAGTGCCTCGGTGCCAGGAATGGGGACCCTGCAACCCCTCCACTGTGCATCCCCCTGTGTAAATACAGAGATTTTTATATTAATTTAATTAAAGAACTTTATAAACAGCCACCTTGCCAGAGCATGGAGGTGTGCAGGGGACACTGAGCCCCAGGGCACGGTCACCATTACTGTCCCCGTGCCGTCCCTGCACTCAGTGTTGCCTCGCTGCGGTACAGCGGCTGCGGCGTCTCACCGGGACGGGCACTGGCACGGCGCCAGGCGGTGATGACCAGCATGCCGGCGTCGGTCAGGGCACAGCTCACCGATAGAGGGTCCGTGTCCTCGGGCAGCCGGCACTGGTGGGTGAAAGTGTCGCACACCGTGCCGTCCTCTGCCACCTGCATGGCACAGTGGCATCAGATGGTCATGTGTGGTAGGCGGGCAGCAGGCTGCTTCCCAGTTAGCCAGGTAAAAATGATGGTATCTGGGGAGGGAGGGAGGGAGGAAGGGGTCCTCACCTTCTCAGCCCAGATGGCAACGTGGCCGTTGGAGGTGGTCACCACAATGTCAGGAGGATCGAACTGGCTGACGTCGGCCACCACCTGGTAGGTTTCACCCTGCACCTGCACCCATGTGCCCAGAGTGTAGGGGCACACGGTGCCCGGGGAACCTGCAGGGATCAGGAATAGGCACAACATGCAGGGAGTGGGAGGTGAGGGGGAACTGGGGGGGTTGAGATCACTGGGGGGACTTCAGGGAGAAGTGGGGAAGGGAATATGGGGTGGCCTGAGGACAGGGGGACACATAGGGATGGCCAGAAAAGTCTGGAGAAAGAAGGCTGGGAGGGGGGGTGGGTGTTGCTGTGAGGGCTCTGGAAGGGCGAATGGGAGCATCTGGGTCACCTTGAGGATCTGGGTGCACAGGGGCTGGGGGGATGTAAGGGCACTCAGGAAGATTGGGGCTGGGGGAGAAAGAGGCATGGGGGTTTCTGGGGGCACTGAGAGTCTCTGTACGATTTAGGGAGGGGAGAACAGGGGACACCATGAGCCTGGCGACCCTGGGAAGCCCTTGAAGGGACTTATCTGGGGGGGTGGGAGGGGAGATACAGGACAGTCCGTGGGGAACTCAGGCTGGCAGTGCCTGAGCACAGGGCAGCAGGCTGCATTTTGGGGTCCCCCATCCCAAACTCCATACCTGGGTACCTGAAGGTGTCGTAGTGGTACCGCTCCCCCTCGAAGCAGGGCTCGCCGGCACCCAGCCCCTGGCTGTAGGTGCTGATGTGCTCAGCACGGTACGTAGCAGCTGAGCTGAGCGATGCCATGTCACTGTGCCACTGCCACCGCCCAACCTGTCCCCAATACCCCGCACAGGGCAGGGGGATGGCCAGGCGCCTGCTGCCACATGCCCATAATTAGCCCGGTAGCCTGGCCAGGAATGCGAGATAACGGCCGAGGCCTCTCTGTCACCCTATGGGGGGACATGCAGGAGACGCTGCTGTCACTGCCATCCTGCCACCCCACCAGGGCCCCTTTCCTGCAAGCAGACGCAGCTGTGCAGCACTCACACCACTGATTTTATTGGAGGGCAGGTGGGATGGAGACAGGGGCAGGGGCACCCTGGCATGGGGTAGATCCCGGCACCCCATGGAGATGTACCCATGTGCACATACCCCTCAGAGGTGTATGCACACAAATACCCCTTTCTCCCCATCCCACTGTAGGTTTTGGGGCCAGGATCCCTGGGTCCTGCTCTGGGTTGCTGATGTCCCTATACGCGGTGGTGGCACAGGGGTCAGGGGGCAGGGAGCCCCTCACCGTGGCATCAGCCTCCCCCGGCAGCTTGGTCATGCAGAGGTGGGGGTCCCACGACAGGTGGCACAGGGCAGAGTTGGGGGTGTGTGGCAGCATGGGAGCAAAGGGCACTGGGGGGTGCAAGGATGGGGGGGTGGCAAGGGGTGGCATGCAGTGGGCAAGTGGCCCCACAAGAACAAGTGCCATGCAGGAAGGGAGGGCAAGCGTCAATGAAAATTGGCATTCCTTCCCCCAAACGGTGTGCCCGGACAGCTGGGGGTCCTGTACTGGAGTGTCAGCCCTCCAGATACAACGAGGGGGGGCGACCACCTCCGTGTAGGCACTTGGTTCCCTGCTAGGGGTGAGCAACTTGGGGACAGGGACATCAGTCATGGGTCCTGTCACACCTCCCGGGTTGGCCCACAGCAGACCTGGGGGCCCCCACCATAGGGCTGGTTGGGGATACTCCCACGGGGGGGGTGTCATGCCCATCCCACTCCCACCTGCAGCCTCCCCATGTCAGCCTCCACATGCATACAAAAGCATAGAAACCTCCATCACCGTGGCACATCGGCACCCCCCTGGCCCCCTCCTGAACCCCGTGTCCAAAGGCAGCAGTTCACAGTATAAAATTCATCAGAGAGCAAGAAGAGCCTCTGTGCCCCAACTCCCACCCCCAGCCCTGGTCCAGAGTGGGGGCACTGTGGGCTTAGCCCAGAAAGGTTCAGCTGTGCCAACAGGGTGGGGGGGCTCAGTGCCCACGAAGGGGTGGCGAGGGGATGCATGCGGACAGCCAGCCCCACAGCTTCAGGTCCCATCAGTCCTGGGGGGCACGGTGCTGGGGAGAGGCAGAGTCCCTGCAGGGCATCACGGCTCTTCAGCCTCCTCCTCCTCCTCCTCCTCATCCTCCTCCTCGTCTTCCTCCTCCAGTGACACCACCCCAGAGGAGGCAACATCAGAGATTTTGCGGCGGAGCGTGAAGTCCTTGCTCAGCACCACCTCGTCCTCGGCAGGCGAGAGGCAGGCCTCGGCATAGGGCATGGGGGACAGCGAGTCCTGGCAGCGGGGCCATACCAGACCCCGCAAGGCACTTTGGCTGCTCGGGGGGGGCAGCTCACCCCCCAGGGAGCCCAGCAGTTTGGCAGTGAGTTCGGAGGGGGACACCATCTCCAGGCTGCAGAGGCTGGAGCAGAGGGTTTCGGGGGACAGTGTGCGCGACGAGTCACTCTCAGGCTCACAGGAGCTGTGCCGTGCTCCCAGCTGGCACAAGTGGCCCCGCAGCAGGTCCCGCAGCAGCGCCGCACCGGGATGATGCTCTGTGGGAACAGCGGTCAGCCCCATAGCCAGGAATCCCAATGACTGCCAGCCCCATGATGGCACCATGGGAAGTCCTGGCAGCAGGACACCGTCCCCAATCCACAAGTCCCCAGGGTGCTCACCGGCTGGCAGGGAGCTCTCTGAGGATGGCATGAAGTCCTCATCGTAGGACTCGTCGTTGGAGTCATCCCCATCCACTGAGGACCAGGCACGCAGCTTGGCCTCAGCGATGGCAAACTGCTCTGCCACGCCTGGCACAGGACAGTGTGGTCACAGTGGGAGGTGGCACAAACCCCCACACAGCCAGCAGTGAGAATGGGGGGGACATCAGCACAGCAGGGACAGCATGCCTAGGATAGGGCATCTCATCCCATGGGCAGGATGGATGGATGGATAGGTAGGAACATGGAGGTGGATGGCAGATGAATGGGAACATGGGGACAGGTGGTTGGAGACATGGGAATAGATGGAGGGATGAGAAAGAATGGATGAGTGGGGACAAGAAGAATTACGGGTGTTTGGGTGGGTGGGTGGAAGGAGGGATGGATGGGTGGGTGGGTGAAGACATGGGAGGGATGGATGGAGGATGGATAGAAGATGGATGAGCAGGGGCATGGGGGTGAATGGATGAGTGGGGACATGGTGATGGATGGATGGGTAGACGGGTGGATGGATGCACGGAGACTCCACGCAGCGCCCACCTGCAGCGAAGCGTGCCTCCTGCTCGCCCTCGCTCAGGTGGCAGTAGGAGTTGAAGGCGCTCTCTAGCGCAGCGGGTGGCTCCACGGGTTTGCACCAGCCCTTCCACTCGATGAGGTGTGCGACGCGGCCCTGCGCCATGGCAGTTGGCTTCGTCACATGCTCCTTCACCACCTGCGAGATGCCTGGAGCAACGCCGTATCAGTACCACAGGGACAATGCAGGGACCCCACCGCCCTCCCTCCTGCCCCCGTTTCCCAGGGCAGTTACCATGCAGTGAGGAGCGGGCCAGGGCGGCGATTTCCTGGATGGTCAGCGCACGCCGCGACTTGGGCAGCATCTCGACAGTGTCTTCAACATTGACCTGTGGTGTGGGCAGGGGCGTCACGCCGTGCATGCACTAAGTGCCCGCTCCCATCGCTGTGGTGATACACACGTGCACTTGTACTGATGCGCATGCAGCTGTTGTGCCTGTACACTTGCATATATGCACATGTGCTCCGCTCTCTGCAGTTGGTGCGACCGAGCGCGGCTCACGCATTACACACACATGTACAAGGTTGTTGGTGCACCCGCTGTGCTGGGGCATCCCTTCCCAATCCCTTTGCCCACGGCCATGGGGAAGTGATGTGGGATTTGGAGGCGCGCAACAACTCGTATTGCCATGGCAACGCGGCGCCGTGGACTGATTTCTCCCAGGATACAGCCCAGCTCAGGGCTGACGTCAGAGCCGGCTGTGAGCCGGTTGTGGGGCCGGGCAGGGCGGGCAGCAGGGCCCCGGTGCGGCGATACCTCGAGGAAGTCCTGGCTGTCGAAGGAGGCCTGGCGCAACAGGCGGGGCAACGGGGCCGGTCGGGCGGCTCGCAGCGGGGACAGTGCTTTCACCTCCTTCCACTCCACGCACAGGGTTGTGTCCACGGCCACTGCGGGGAGAGCTCAGTGCCTCCATCTGCCCAGCTGAGGCCAGGTGCATCTCATTGCACGGAGCGCCGGCGCTGCGGCACTGGGTGACTCACGGCCAAGCAGCTCTTCCGCCTGTGTCAGCGGCACCAGGCTGGCACCAGGAGTGGGAACACGGCCTGCCTTGGCCCGGGTTGTGGGAGCTCAGGATGCACGCGCCCAGGAACGGGGATGGGGTGGGAACAGTGCGGGTGGCGGCACTCAGCCGGGTGTCCCTGGGATGGGGCCAAGGCAGGTAGGATGCCGATGGGGTTGGGGTAGAGTTTAGGGTTTGGGGAGCTTGGGACAGGCTGTTATGGGGGGGTGTGCTTCTGCACCAGCTCTACGGCCCTAAACAGGGGGGGTACCCACCTCCCCCAGCATTGACAGCCCCAGTATCGGTGTTGGGGGGGGTTTCCCAATGCACCACAGCTCCTTACCAGGCAGTGGACCCCAGGGGTTGGGGAAGAGCCTCATTTCCTTGCTCTGAGGTGTATCGGGCTGGTGTGAGGTGGCCATGGGGTGGGATATGGAGGGGGCAAAGAGTGCTCCTCAACCCAGTCTGGCTTCACGGGAAGCTGCTGATCACTTCCCTCCCCCCCCATCTGCTATGGGCAGAGGCACCCCTGGGTGACCCCCCCCCAGCATAGCCACCCCCAGGACAGCCCCACCATGCCTGTACCAGCCGCAGCCTGGGGTCACCACTCAGCCCTGCTACCACCCATTGCCTCCACCTCTGTCAGCCCCCATAGCCCCCCAGAGCCCAAGTAAATCCCACCAACTCTCACAGGTTCCCACACCCCCACAGGCCCCTGAGAAATACCCTAGACCATAACTCTTGCCCAACCCCTGAACCCCAAACAGCCCATGGCTCCCCCACAGCCCTGCATAGCCTCCCACCTACCCATCATTCCTTCTCTGTCCTCACTCCCTCCCTAAGCCCCTTGACTCCTCTCAAGCAGCATCCCTAAGTCCTCTATGCCCCCTCAAAAACTCCCTTATAGATTCCAAGTCCTCCGCTACCCCCAGATTCTCCATATCCCCCCCCAGTGACCCCCATTCCTCTATAAATTCCCAAGCCTCCCAGCAACCGTGAGATCCCCATATCCCTCCTGTACTGCGTACCTATAACTCTCTGCACCTCCTCCCCAAACCCTACAGTCCCCACAACTCTCCACACCCCACAACCACCCCACACTCTCCTCGCCGCATCAGCCCCACCCCCAAAGCTTCTAGCATCCCCAAAAGCAGCCTCCCCATAACCCACGCAACCCCCCCACGCCCCCCAGACCCCGTACGGTCCCGATACCCCCCCCCTCGGCTCCGAACACGCCCCCCCCCCCCTCCCCCGCAGACCCATCCCGGCGACGCTCACCCACCGATGGTGGTTTTGGAGCCGATGCAGCCCATGCTCCCGGGGGGGGCCCCGGTGCGGGCACTACCGCCGGCTCCGTGCCGTCCGCATCGCCCCCCGACCGCATGGGCGGCCCCAGGCCGTGCCCGCAGCCCCTCCGGGACGGTGACACCGGGCCCGGAGCCCCGAACGGTGCTGTGAGCCGGGCCGGTACCGGGCACG